GAGAGAGAGAGAGGGAAAGAGCACGCCCGAGCCCACGCAGCTCGCCGTGAAATTTTAATCGTGTCGTCATTGGGGTAGTTTGTTGCGATAACCCGACCAGCATAGACGTATACGGATTTCGGGAAAAAAAAGAGAACGGAGGGTGGAAAACCGTGCCGCCGCTGAACGTTACCGCTCTTTTTTTTTTTCAGGCGTTTTTTCGTGCTCTCGGGGACGGTACATCGACCGCACGTACTAAGTATTGACGCGCATTACCCGTTGCATTAATTAGCGGTGCGAAAGTAAAAGTTGATTAAAATTTATTTGAATAACTTTCAAGTTTATATTCGGAATAAATATTAATATCTGTAGACATATATTGTATGAGCAAGGAAAATCAACCGTGACAAATGTTATAAAAGATATTTGTAACGCGAAAGTGTAGAAAATTTTACCACAAGAAAAAAAAAACAATCGTAACGTAAAGGTATCACGATAGCTGATCGCAGAACGTAGATAGATCGACTCGGCTGAAAAATGTGGAGCAGAGAGATTCATGGGGGCGCGACGTGTCGGCATTATTGCTCATTTGGTCCGGCGCGCATCGGAAAATAATGTAGAAAATTGTTTTGCGGTCTTTTTATCCCGATTTCAGGGACGTCGGTCAGCGCGCGGGGCCGACGGGTGCTTTGTCTGTTTTCCATCAATCACGCGGACCTTTTCACCGTGCGGATATCGAGCCTGCCCGTTTTTGCGTGCGGTGCATCCCGCTCGATTGCAATCGCGGCGAATTATTGAATCTGCTGCATCTCGTCCGACCGGATTAGGTTGCACGCGCGTATCGGTCAATACACGATTGCAATTTATTCACTTTGTCGCGAAACGCTGTAAGAATATTTCAAGTGCGATGCATTTAAAAAAATAAGATTGTTGAAATATCGTTGATGCCAATTGTTCGACACGTGCGACACGTGCGACATTGCGCGACACATTAACCTATTATCATGCAAAGAGCATCGAGCAATCTGAATTTTTTATTTTAATATTAATTAATATTGCGTTTGTGAAAAATAACTTTGCAAACGATAATATCTTTAGTAATTGTATTATGTATGATTAATGTATTGCACTTACCAGCTTGTGCGTGAAATGTCCCCGGCGATTCATCTTTGTCGATCATATAAGAATAAATCAATATCGTGGAACGGATGATATTACTTTATTTGATGACGTACTTAAACAATGAATGATTTTGATTAAGGCCAGCAGTCACGCATACATACAGTGTCATCAAGACGACTCGTGGACGATAATTATACAATGAGATTTTTCCACGGTTATATCAATATTTGCCTCGAGCAACAACGGCATTGCCACATGAAAGCGAGGCAACGGCTTGACGAAAAATGTGACTCGGCCAGGATTTGAAGTTTTTAGAATGGTGATATTTACAACGTAAGCTACTCGTAATTTCGCTTGCACCGGGAAACCAAATGTCATCTGCCACACGAGTATTTTCTTTACAGAGTTTCTTTTTTTCTAAATTATCGACAATACAGCATTTTGAGAGAATAAAAAATTGAAGCGCGAATAAGAAATACATCTTGATTGAAGAAACTTGTTCTTCAGGATTAAAATATTTAAGGGCGCATCGCGCGAGTCACAATAGCATACTCGTGTAGCCGAGACATTTAGGAAATTCAAGTATTTTTAATCGGAATGACGAGAGGGTAGTGGCTTAACGTGTACTTGAAACATTAACCTAGATAATAATCGGACGTTATTATATATGTACATGTACTATACGTGAACGTAAACCCTGGTTAGTCCTCGAGTCCATGACAGTTCTTAGACGATACCGCAACGGGTATAAGGATAGATAAGTAATCCCGACAAAAACGTTCGTCCGAAACTTTTGATAATTAATTTCCAAGCAGACGATTACCGCGTTACATTGCGCGAGACGTTCGAGCATGCCAACCGGCATGTACTGTTTATTTCTGAACAACTTGACGATGATGATACATCGCTTAGCGTTGCTAAATTAATCTATAACATCGTGCAAGCTCTGCCTTTGTAATTAGTTTCGAATTAAGACGAGATTAATCAACATCCGCTGATTTGTTTTAGCAAAAACATTTTTTTTTTTTTTTTTAAAGAACACACGATAAAATTTGTCTAGATCATATTTAGTTGAATCCATACGCCCTCGACAACATAGTTAATTTTTCATTCTAATCGTCAAATTCGTCAAAATCGTCGCGGTGAATGGATGTTCACAGAGCGAACTCGCTTTAATAAGGTCTCCACACCTGTCTAGGCTTGGGACTTCTCTCTCTTCGTGATCTAATGGCTTCCCTCTCGACGTCTATTCCATCATCCTTTCTTCGCATCGTCAGATCCTGACCAACGTTCTCCTTATCCTGACCCTTCTTCGTGCTGAGATCGACCGTGCCTTCTAAACGTATCTTCACGGTGAGGTCGCCGCGACGGGCGATCTGATCCTGATCGATCGGCAGATCCGAGTCGTTCAGATTCTCTATGCTCTGCCGTAGACGAATCGACGCTTCTTGGAAGGTGGCGTCAGTGGATGCGGCGTCTTCCAGGTCGCTTCTAATCGGCGAAATTCTCGGGGAATCTTGCTCGGGTATAGACTCGTCGCTTCTAACGCGGTCTCTGTTCAGCTCTTGATCGTTTCTATCATCCACTTCGATGCTATCGTCAGGACTATCCAATCCGGATCTACGCAAAGCGCCTTGATCGTCTCCCCTCCGCTCCTCATCCTTCGTACTGCTCTCAGGACTGTCACTGCTGCTTCGTAGCTTTCTGAGTTCCTCGAGCCGGGCCTGATCCGGCCTTTGTAGTCGCTGCTGTGCCATTCTTAAGGCCAGAGCGTGCCAATCCGGTTCCAAGATGTACTGCTGCGTGTGATATAAAGGATTGTAGAGCCAAGAGGACTGCGGTAACAAAGGTGCGAATATCGATCCAAAGATGGATCCCGTCGCACCCAGTAGATGAAGACCTGTATTACGAATAAAATAGAACGTCAATTTTTTTTCGGACAAGATGCGTGAAGACGATCGCGCGGATCTCGGGTTGAATGCAGATCTTGGTTTTTACCTTGAAAATGTGAATGATGTCCAGACGGGCTGGGCGTCGTGGTAGTAGTGGTCGATTCGGCGGGAGGCGTCGGCGCCGTTACGGAAGCCGTCGTCAGCAAGCCCGGTCCGGGATTTCCGGGTGACGTTGTCGGCGTTACTTCTCGCACCGACACGCTGATAGGACCCAAGTCACTCCTCGCGGATTCTTTTGGACACATCACAATTTATACACGCTTATTAATCGTTCAATCTCGCCTGAGAAAACATCGCGTCGCTCAAGTAAAGCGTTCACTTTCGTTTACGATTCGAAAAGCTTTCTTCGGAATTTTTATTTTTTACTACGAGAATCTCGTGTCTTTACCGGCGTTAGGTCCAGGCAGCCTCGGGGATCTCTGTTCGATGGCATGGTGGAAGGGGTTGAAGGCCGATGCACCAACTGGCTGTGGATGTGTGTGCGGGTGGTGGCCGGGGGGCGGTGGAAGACAGTGCGGCGGTAGAGATCCTCGGGGTAACCCGCCCCATCCCTGGCCCGCTCCTTGCTCCAGACCCAGGTGTTGCAATCCTGTGCAATCAAAGAAATGCAGATTACACGCCTCCGAGGATTCTGTTTATTCAGCGTCTCCGCTGTCATCACGACGCGGTGACCTCCATATCGCGTAGAAATATTTGCAGCGGACGACACGATCGCCTCACACGTAATTTATATTTGTCTTTACATTAAAAGCTTGCATCGAATATTTTAGTGCCTTGTACGGGTGTGTATATAAAAAAATTGACATTTTCATTGCAGAATATACAATCTTTCGGAATTGTGTAACGCAATGTAGACGACAGTACCTGAAAATGATTGATACAATCGTTTTGTGACAAGACGTAACATATATTTCTGGGCATCACGGTGGCGTTGTATAATTTTCGGCAGGTAAACGGTGATCGACTGACAGTTCGAGTCGTAGAAACGCATCCCTTTGACGTAGAGGCGGTTTTGACGTGGATGGACAGTTAAATTTATCCAACAGAGAATGCAGAGACGATCGATCACCTTTTTTTCGATAATAGCCAATATCGCGTGGCCGCGCAAGCATGTGTTTGAATGCAATTAAATTTATGACATCAAAAAGTTCATCCAAGCGTGATCGGTTGGACAAACCGACTGACATAAGTCGCATCACTTTGTTGCCTGTTTATTTGCAAAGCGATAAATTGATTTTCATCATTTTTCAACAAGCGGAACACGCTTTTCTTTCATAAACGTTATTTGCATTATCGCGAACTAACGAACGAAAAGTAAATCCTATTTCTTGCGATTTAATTTGCGTGTAAGCAGCGTAACGCGATTGACTTTTAGCGCATCGCGGTGCAAGGGCCACGTTGCAAGGAGCAAGCCCCGTGGTCATCGACGTGGTATCGGTTTTTCGAAAGACCTTGATCAATAACAGATTATGCCGTCATCTGTGCGGGGCAGTTTAAAAATTCCGTGAAGGCTGCCGCGAAGCCACCGTGCGCGTCGAGGGTGGGGGTTACGGCGGGGTGGCAAGCAGGGGAAACCCGCTTCGGCAAAGCGGGGTGAATTGTCCGGTCACTGGCACGAGGGCGTGATCACCGAGACACGCAGATTGCCCCATTGGTCGCTCGTACGCTCCCACCAGTCGCGCCGGGAGCAGTGGAGGGGCGTGAAAAAGCTCGGTAGGGGTTGAAGGGGTGATTTTTAAGCTCTCTTTAAGCCGTGCGCGCTCGCCAGGGAGGACACCGCTATCTCGCGTCCTACCACACCGGTGTGGCACACTGAACGGGCCAGCCGTGAGAGCTCGTAGTCCTCCTACTTTATGAGGGGGATTAAGAAAACGATAAGAGGCGCGCGAAAGCACCGCTGCCACCGAGCTTACGGGGGCCAACGGACGGCTTCCGTTGGCTGCAGCATGAATAAGAACCGCTTCGGTAAGCTCTTCAGGCACCGGAATTCTTAGGTGACGAGCACATCGCGAGAACACCGTCCGATAGCTCACGATGAATCTTTCTTGTTTCTTACAAAGTAATTCCGTTTTTAGACCATTACCTTGAAAATAATTCTTTTCCCTCGACAATGATAGAATTTGCTTGTAAATGATTAGATAATTGTCCGCTCGCAGTGATGAAATATTTGTGCGATAAAATTATATAATATAATATATGATTTTTTCTAAATTTTTTCACAATTTTTTATATTTACTAAAATATAATTACTTAACTTCTTTCGGCAAGTTTGAAAAAACAGAGTGAGATCTTTATTTGGAATATTTTATGAATATTCAGCAAATTCTTCGAATCAGTTTTGTCAAGTTTGCATATGAAGTGTAAACTTTCGATACAACACGCATCTTTCCCAGAGCGACTGTAACATATTTTCAATTTAATAAACCCCCGAAAATGCTGCGCACCCTCTTTCGACGGAACTCGCGTGCCGGGTTGGGTTCGGCTGGCGGGCGATAATTCCGAAAACAAATGAAGACTAATGAGGGGTGGGCCCTGGTGAGATCTGGGAAAGAGAGCGAGGGAGAGAGAATGCGGGAGACAAGGCTGAAAGGGTTCAAGGAGCCGCCGCTACCCTTTAAGGGGTGAGAAATGTTAAGCTTAAACGTTACGGCCCTAGGGTTAGTTGCCTTTGCGTGTGCCTTCCATCGGGGTACTAGAGCTTTAAGGGATGATGTATTATCGAGCAGCGTGCTCAAAATGTGCTACGTACTTTGGTCGCGCCCCTCCCGAGATGCGGTAATGTGACGTCACGTGTAATATGAGCTTTTAAGCGTAGCTTTATATACGTTTCGCCGTCGAGCAGCCCGCGGGGTGAATTAAATTTGGTCACGTCGATTACAGAACTCGTTGGCTAGAAGCGACTTCGAATTTTAACTACACTTTTCATCCGCAATTATTACCGCAATATTGTATCAGTTTCTTTGGATTTGAAAATAAGTTTATGCAAACCGTTTCTGTTTTCCTCTCCTGCAAAATATCGAGCGTGCTCGGCGTTTATTTTTCAGCTTTACGTGTAGGCACACTTACAGTAATGAAATTGAAAGAGCATGTTAAAGACGTCGATTCCAAGTCTGACACGTAGCTCGAACGAACGAAGAGAAAAGTCCTTCAAGTTCTCCGTCTTAAACCTCCTTGATCTCACCATCCCGAGATACATAATAAATTAATTCGCGTATTTTCCTGTCTGTCTTATCTATTCAAATCTATGCAAAACAGGCGTTAAAAACGCCCTTCTTGCTGCTAAGGCGTTAACCCTTGCGAAGCTCGATCTCCCCCTCTTTTCAACCTCTTCGCTCTCTGTTACTCTCCGGCTCGTTCGGCGCTTCTCTTTCCACAGCGCGTTCTATCCTCTAGCTACTGCCGGTTGGATGTCTTTGCACACCCACCCTTTGCGCCCGTTCTCATTATCGCGTCGCAGCAACCCCTAAAATGCCACCCTGGAAAGGTCCCTGGCACCGATCTAAGCTCTACGAGGAGATATTTCGAGAAAGGACGGGAAAATTGCTATCTCTCTCCTTTCTTCTCTATCTTTATCCCGCTGTCGCGAGATTTTCTCTTTGAAGTTGCGAAAGAGCGCAAAAATGATGGATCTTTTAAGAAATTGGCGATGCTTAGCGATGCATAAATTTTCGTCTTTATCGTTTATTACGTTTTCTGATTATATAAATAATTTCAAATTTAATGTACTGTCATTAATCATAATAATTTATGTTATACTAAAATATGTAGTTTCATCAAACTATTGGAAATAAAATATATAAATAAAAATTAATTTTATCGATGAAATAAGCTTTTATTATTTAGTAATTAAAGCTTGGCTGGACGTATAACTTTTTTTATAAATATTAACAGTGATGTCTGTTGTAAATATCAACTTTAACAAGAGCACATATTAGTTTGATTGTGCCATATAGAAGCAAAAGTTGATTGAGAAAATCTGGATTACGGATGAGACGGTTTTAGGAATATCACGAGACACTATCAGGTTTCTATCTCTTAGGCTTGGTGGATTTTCGTGTCGGCGATAGGAAAGGAGACGAGAAAGGAGACCGACGGCTAGAGAGAGCGTCATTAGTTACCGTCGCTTCCAGAGAAAGGTCCCGGTCGCCGGACCTGATTAAAAGACGGAACACCCCGGGACGCCCTTGCAAGACACGCAGGGGGGTGAAATGTGACGCGAATTTAAAGGATCCGCAGTGATTCGACACGGGGGTGGACAGGAACAACCCTTAAAAAGGTTCCCTTTAAGGACCGCACGCCCGAAGGGTTGCCGTCGCGTTCGGTTTTCTATGTACGTGAAAGAGCTCTTTAAACGCGTCGCATCGTAAATCAGGTAGCGATAGCGCCCAAATTCGGAGCAGGAATATAATCCGACGATTGCCGCGATAAAACTTGTTGCGATTAGACGAATCAGCATTCAGCAAGATTTACGACACGCTCGCTTCACGTGATTACAGTAGTAGCGATACACCTTGCAGAAGATGAAACATGATGCGCGAAAAGTAGCAAAGAGAGATTTTATATTTGCAATTTTTGTGTAAATTACATGTTTGGTGAGAAAGGAGATTCGCACTTAAAAAAAAGGTCGCGAATTTACTGCAAAGCGATCCAGGAACGAAGCGACAGTTTTAAACTGAGCGTTTCTAACAATCTCCCCCAAATGAGGTAAAGGCCACCTTATTGAAACAGGGGTCGCGATTTTTCCGGTTCTTTCCCCAACCCCGCCACAGCGCAGTCTCTCCCTCGTAGGCGGTTAATTGACACGGGAGAGCGGAAAGAGGGAGGGCAGATTGGGGCTGCACGAAGCTGTTCTTGTTAACTCGAATCTTGGCACCTCGCGATTTTTCATCCTCTTAGCCAGACTGACAAAGACGACAGACTCGGCCTCCCGGGAGGCGCGCGATCAGGGTGTTTTCGTTCGTGGACAATCTCAGCAGCTATCTGCCGTGTGGTGTCTGTCACCGGATACATTAATTTTCCCCGAGCTTGCCAGCGATCTCCGAGTGTGCTGTGAAACTTTTAAAAATCACCGTAACAGAAAATTATCACTTTCCGATTCTTTAAGTTGTCGCTAAAGTTTTGCGATATTTGTAAAAGAATATTATTTCAATAATTTATATACAATATTTATTACCAAAATGAGTTTTTTAACAAAAATAGAAATCGAGCTACAGAAAGTGCAATACAAAATTAATCACACGGAAAGAGTGAGCAATATGTCATCCGGATATATTGAAATTGACGTGAAAGACGAAATTACAGCAGCGTGGATATCGGAGATCAGAGAGAAGAAAAGGCGCATTGGCCCGTCCATCGGACTTTGGCGCTCTCACTTGAAGCCCTTGGGGAACCCATAAAATTCGTCCCTGCTGTCGAGGTAGGCCCGAACGAAATTTAATAACATCCCCCTAGTTACACCTCAATGGGCACCTTAACAACCCTGCACGGCCAGCCACTCGTCTCACGCTGGTAGTGCTCTTCCCTTTCACCTTATCAACCCTCCCGGCGTAGATATCTAATAAACCGCCTCTTGAGCGTCTTTACCTAGTCAGCGATACCCGACGGCCGGCTGGCCGGCTTTGAAAGTTCGAAAGGTGCTCGACTGACCGACCCTTCGTCGGACCGGACGGAGGCGCAACCTGTGAGTCGACCGGCGAACCCCGAGCGAAAGGGTTGTAAAAACTCGCGGGCACATCACTCGAAATAAACCGATCGATATTCGTCGAGTGCTGTTCGCACCCTAGCTTGAAACAATGTAGGTGACCCAATTGCGCGAATACAATTTATTCGGCGGTGTGTTAAAACCATGCGCCAGTAACTCGCGATATATACTTTTGATATAGGTGGCGGTAGGTTTTTCAATTTTAACGAAAAGATCCGACCCGTTTCAATAAAGTATCTTTCAAGTTTTTCCAACGCTTCAAGTTTTTCTCACGCTAATTCCTCGTTTCGATTCCAAAAGAGTTGTTGAAAAAAATGATTGTAGTTTTTATTTAAAGTTACATGACTAAAATTTATTTTAAAAAATATCGCACAATCAATACTGAATTTCTGTGATTATTCATTTGAATATCACCGGCGGGGAATCATGTTGGAACAATCTTTCGGTCGAATCGCGACAGTGAGAGACGCAAAGAGAAGAAAAGTTACAGCTCCGGCGTACTGCCGGGCGCGGCAGTGGCTGATTCTTGATTGAGCAGACCGGGGATGCGGGGGTCGGACGGGGAGTAGCAGCGAGAAATCGACGGCAGGACTGCCATCCCGTAGTACGCCTCGGGGATAGGAGGGAGCGAAGCTCCGTTAAGCCGCTTATCATGCCGAAACAATACACTGTCGGTGCACCAGTATCAGTACCCGACCCTCACTGCTCCGGGCTAGTCCCATCAAAATTTGGAGCTTCGAACGAGTTTCAATGGAATTCGTGCCACCCAACTGTCCTGTCGAACCGGCCGGATACCTGAAAACTTTTTCGAAAACGCTCGCGACGATGAAACGTTTAAACCATCGTTTATATCACAGCGAACGCATTATCGTCACGAAGGAAGAAACTGATTGTTTATGTGTTACAAAAAAAATCTTGAGCGATATTTCACTATTTTGTTTGGCGAAATTAAATATTTATGAAATATTTTTCGCAAGTAACATTGCGAATATCACAAAATTGTACCGCAAAAACTCGAAAAGATCAATCGCGATAATATCTTTATTGGTTTACTTCGATCGTTGGCTGTTTGAATCGGGAAAGCAGCGGGAATATTTTATCATGCTGTAAGCCACTCGATAGCGAAGTTAACGAAGTCGAAGTTTATTCGCGACTTCCCTCGAGAGCGGGGGCCGGGCGGCTTTCTCGAAACGAAAAGGCAGAGTTCGCGCTCGGGGCTTAATCAGAGTCTTCTCCACTTAGAGGCCGGTGGCAAAACTCAATTTTGAGTCGGTGCCTGCCGACGCTCAATTTTGACACCCTTCGCAGCCACGAAGCCGTGCGCGCGCGAAGAGGGCGTCGACCCTGGCTCGCCTAAGTTGCCGCAGTTGCTCTCCTCCCGGGAGAGGCACGGGTACAGGGTTGCAAACTTAGTTATCTATCGACGGGGAGACGTGCCGAGAGGCTGAAGGTGAGCCAGCCTCACCGGAAGCAGGTATCCGCGCAAACTCGTCGCGACGAAGATGAAGGAGGCCATCCGCGCGCGTGTCTTTGATTAGAGTACACTCACTTACCCGACAGCTTGAATCCCAACGGGTCCTGCGGGTGTCCGAAGGGAAACGGACGAGGCCCGAAGTGAAAGGGATGAAAGGCCTGGTGCCCTGCAACGTGGGATGAATTCATGAGTCGGCATCGACGGCTCGATAATGCGCGATCTTATGCGCTTTTCTCGCCGCGTGTGCAACACTTGTCGATTTTTTTCTTCGTTAATTAGATTCTTAACCGGCTTCTTCCGATCGATTAGACGAATGCCAGTGAAAAGTTATCCTTGCATTATCCTCGGTGGGTAAAACTGTACTCACGTGTTTTGGAACGTGGCTCTCTGGGACCGTCCACGGTCACCTTGATTGCCTTCGACAAGGTGGCCACCTGCGGCGGCGATGTTTGCAGCATGATCGTCAGGGTGAAGCTCTTCCCTGAAACGAAAATGAAAACTGGAGCGTCGGGAGATGAGAAAGAATTATCGCCCGGCGGTAAAACGAGAAACGGGATTCTCCCAATGGGACGATGCATGTTCGCGCTTTGGCTCCGTTGCCAGATCAAAAACTATAAAGGCGCAAACGATCCCGCGCTCCTTGATTTGCGTGGACTCTATTATTCATATCCAATTCGCCGACCGCGAAGAGAGATACTCTCAGTACGTGCAATTTCATGAACTTACTCGCTTTTGCGATTTATATACCGTATATTATTTAATCAAATAAAAAGTTACATTCAAAAAATAATATTGGAATAAAATATAATATATTTCGCAAGCGTTCGGATATTAAAAATCTCACCTTCGTCAATCGAATTCCGATTAAACGGTAATTGATCGGATCGAAATTTCTTGGCGGATTTAATCCATTGCTATCGCGAAGGATATGTGCTCGACGGCACGCACGAGCGAAACGCCAATGCGCGCGCGGTGCGTTCGCTGGAAACAAAACACAAATGTGCCGGAAGTAAGGGGTGAACGAGTGACGCCACTGCGTCGATGTTTGTTCCCGGATAGACTGGAATATGTTAATGCTGCTGGCGCTAAACGCGACCCCCTGAAATACCCTGCCGTCCGTCACGCGCGATTTCGCCGTTTTACCTTTCGACGTGTCGACAACATTCGGTAGCTCCATAGATGAGATATCGTTCCTGCCGATTATTTCGAAATTTCGAAACAAACACGATAATCGTTCGAATAATATTTCGAAATAATGTAAAAGCAAGCTATAATGTTTTATAAACATTTTATTTTTATTACTTTAGCAAATTATACATGTTACTCTTATATGTTCTTATCAAAATTATAAATCTTGTTTCGACTGTAACACTCGCCAGAATAGCTTCTGACTCGGTTAATCTAAATATCTCGCTTTTCGTTTTTTCAGCTTGCTTTCGCACGTTAGCGCTTTCGTTCTCTAGGTCTCGCCGATGACCTGAAACAATATCAGCGAATGCGCAGATGAAACGCGACTCGTAACTGGCCGGGCCGTTTACTAAATTTCGATGTTTTCGGCACAAATATTTCAATCGATGACGCGCGCGTCGCGCGGAATTCGTCACGCGTTCGACGCATCGAACTTGGTCCCGGTAATCGCGCGTACGCGAAATAAAACGGCGGTGGGAGGCGACCAGCCATCTCGTCGCGTCGCGTCGCGATACCGAAGAAAATAGCAGCGGCGACGAGATATGTACAAGGCAAAACGAGGCATTTACGCGCTTTTTCGCGCTCCACGGCAATAAAGTTATACAGCTTATAATGCCGTCGCCAAGTGCGGCCGGTACGTACACGCGCGTGGTCGGGTAGTTTTATTTTATGGTGGCGCGGCCGGCCCCCGGTAAACGACCGCGTTTTTACGGTGAACCACGACATTTAACCGGCTTACCGCCCGTCGCCAGGCGAAATACCGGACTTTAACTTCGCCAAGGGAGTTGTGCCATTTCCAGCACGCTCTCTTTCGCGTCGCGCGGTGATTGACCGTTATTTTCGCACCGCGTTGTTTCACGATATCTGTCCAAATAGTTGAAATCGATTGTACACTTTGTGAAGTGAATTTTTCATTTTTGCTTTACATTAGAAACTTATTGGGCGACTTTATCAAACTTTATTCTTGTTATCGTTGCTCTCGAAGAATTAATTCCGAGAATATTCTTTAAATAATAAAAAAATTGTCATAGCAATATAAAACATGTAGTCACTAGAAAATCTGTTTAACAATACATATCGGATAAGTAAAAATTGTTAAACATTTTTCACGAACTTGCGTCTTAAAAATTTTATTAATTTTCTCAAAGTTTAAATAGGAGAATAATATGCAGGAATGTTGTTAAACCTTTGTTTCGTAACGGATGTGAAAGATTTCACCAGAGAGATTTCGTGGCTGTGAGAGCTAACGAGACCGAAGTTTATTGCCAACGCGGTGTCAGCCGCGAGAGGGTGGCGGCAACGCAAATCAGGGGTGATGGCAGGCATTTTGAGGGTGTTTATGAGGCATTATGTGTAACTCGCTGGAAGAACGATCTACTTCAGGGTCTGCAGTCTCTTCTCCTTCTTCCCGACTCACCCAAATCTAGCGAGATTCTAATTCATGAGTTGTATACGGCTAGAATTCACGATAGTCAATTGTACGTAAAAGCAGCTTTCGTGTTTTCCAAAATTTTACAGTGATGCTATTACGATAAAACGTGATTTATGAGATTGGAGAGAGCTTTGCAAGTTTTTTTTTCGTTTTCTTTTTTCGAATGCTTCTTTATGCGCCGAGGATTTCATTTGTCGACGATCGCATTCTTCGTACTCGCAAACAAGTTTAAAAAAATTACTAATCCGCGTGTCGTACGTCACTTTTATCCAGCAAAATATTGCCCGGTTGCAGACGCGATTGAGAGGATCTATAAAGATTATGATGTCCGAGTTGAACTGCAGAATTTTTCGTCGTGTTGAATTTTTTTCGAAAGATCGCCGTAGGGCTTGCTTACTTTTGCGTCAATGTGTACGCTGTTAGTGTTTCTCAAACTTTTAAAATTTACGCTGGAAGAAAAACTGTGAGTCAACTTTTACGCAAATCGATTACACGCAACGTTTAAGTCTTTGTTTTAGCTTTTTTCACGGGAATATTCTCAGATATTTCTATGATTTAGTCTCGCCATGATTTAGTAAGCCAAAACGAGTCGAGCGGGAGATTAATTCGGGCCAGGTTGGCTCGCGTCCACTTACGCGACAAGAATTGCGCGAGAAGACACGAGAACGCTCGCGTTCGCCCTAAGTTTACCCAGGGATCATGCAGTGTTAAAAACTCCCCTGTTTGCCGGCGAGGCGAGGGTTGCTCGGATCGTTATTTCGGAGTGTTTGTCGTGTTTTAAGATTCTGACGTTTTGACTACCCGAATCATGGTAGACGAGGTTGAGTGTGCATCGCCGTGATGTGTTTGAAGGGAAACTCTTTTTTTATTGCTCTTTTTTTATTATATAAATGCCCGCGCGAAATCCTTTGGGGATTAACGAATGTAAGCATAAGTAATTTATACCTTTGCAATTTTTCATTGACACGATATTAATGTAGAAAATATTAAATCGTGAATCATATGAAAACAAATGACATTGCACGAGCACATCTTGTAATTGTTTCGCGATGACTCCGATGAAATTCTACAGCAAGATAAATTTACACGGGGATCAGTTCTCGCTGGCAATAATCACAACATCGAGAACAACGACTTTTAGATGCGACGGCGCAACTGGGCGAGTGGTTATTGAAGCGTTTGTAAAAACCTGCCTTGCTGTTGGCGCGACGGAATGAGGAGCGAAAAATATCGAGAAAATAAAGTAGGGAAACGTGGAATTAATATATGTGAAAGAAACGGATATGTACGTACGTGCGCGACGCGTACTATAGACCAGAGCGGAAAATAATGTTTAATCGGTAGAAAATCTCGGCGCAGTCATCCGCCATAGGACCGCGCGCTTCTCGACCCCCCGCGTCCTCGCAGTCCTTTTTGCGATCCCTTACTTGGCCGAGGGATGGATTTTTTAATTTTTAATTGGCAAAAAACGTCGCCGAGGTGGTCGCTGGTGAGATCCACCGACCGCTCTCGCGGATTTAACTGGCGTATCCGGATTCTCGAAAACGCTAATATCTCCTAACGTTGAAAGTTACGTCTCTTTAGGGAATTGTCTGTTGAATCATCATCGCCTGAAATTAATTTTTATATTTTAAAGTTAAATTTATTTTAAAATATTAGTGCCTGTTAAGATTTGGAGATAAATTTCTTAAAAATATGAGTGGAATTGTAGTTATATTTGAAATTCATTTTCATTTTATAAAAATAGACTTGCCGACTTGTTCAGCAGGTTTTTTCGAACGAACGCTACTAATAAAGCGTCTGTGGCTTGTTATAATTCCGGGGGATTAGCAAATCGAGGGGAACTTTTCGTGGATCGGACACGCTTCAAAGCAAAAAATCACTGATGCAAAGGCAAGCGGTTGTAACAGCTGTTCGGTCGACCGAACATGAGAGCTGCTATTTTTAAATGTCGATGAAAACGCACGTCGACCCTTCTCAACGATGACGAACTTTTACGACTTATTAAATCATTTCCATCTCATATGAAACACTTTAAGGCGACTTCTACGAATAATCTTTTTGCAGGTCTATCATTGGAAAGAATTTTGTACTGTCTGGGATAAAAGTATCCTTACGATCATTATAGATAATAATGAAAATTGATGTCATTTAATTTGCAATAAAATAAGTCATTTTGTTTTATTTGTTTTCACAAGAAATATAGCTGTATATAATTTATACGGCAATTTCGAGGCAGCCGGAGCGTTGATACTCAAACTGCGCGTTTTTCTTCCGGATCGTAAAGGAAATATCGAAGAATCGGATCTGCGCTCGCGAGAGCGGCGAACTCGCACTCTGCGTTGCAACGTTTACCGTGCGGCGGCGATCTACTGCGGGTCCTTCTTCCACGGCGAGGGAGAAAGAGAGGGAAAAAGAGAGCGAAGCGGCTCCGGGCGAGACGGGGATCCATTGCGCTAGGACATCGGTCAGGATCTGGCTGTCGATAGTCGGAGCTTTCCCTCGGATTCTCGCGCTCTCTTCCTGCCTATACCTCGGCCGGACCGTCATAAAACACAGGTAACTCCGGTATTTATGCCCGTCGTTTTTACGCCCGTCGCCACCCCCGTCCCGTCGCGCCGCACCGCGCTCACGCCGCTCGTCCGCGCTCCAACACCGACGCAGGGCAGAGAAACACGCATATATAGCCGCGTCTCCGTACGGCCCGTGACTCCTAGCAGTCGGAGGTTGACGCTAATCCCTGTCGGGAGCGAAAGGGGTGGCCGAGTGATATACGCCCCTGCGCCGGTATGATAATATTCCGCCGTCACCCCCGTAACCCCTGGCCGCCGTGTCGCGCGTAGTCGTTACACTCGCTAGCCGCACACCACGTACTAGAAGAGGTCTCTCTTTTGGGTCAGCGCGTAAGACCAAATAAAAGCAGCTATAGTCGATTAAAAAGGATCGGAGCGCGAGTCGGGGCGCGCGAAAAAACTTGCCGCGTCCAAGCTTTTCTCGACCTCATTTAGGTTTATTCGTTCAGAAAGTGAGGGTTCCGCGCGGGGGAAAAAAAATAAATAACTGGCATCCACGAAAAATCAAATAAATCATATTTTGATATAAATATCTGTTATCAATTACGATATAAAACGATAATAAAACATTATTTTTACATACAATTGTAAACTTATACATTGAATCGCATATTTTTTTAAATATATTTTCAAACATTAAAGATATTTCTTTTATCTTTCCTTTTTTAGAATTGGAATACATCGGTTATTTTATTGAATAAAAACAAATACGATAAAATAAATGTAGAAACGCATATCTAGAAATACATAAACAAAACGTGTGAATTATATTAGATATTTTATATTTGAAGCTCTCCTACATACAGCAAAGTTCAATTTCAAACTTTTTCGCTTGTCTGGTTCTTGATGCTGGCGAATTTTGCGCTCATACAAGAACCAGACAAGCACTAGTCTTCGGTTTCTTCGTCCCCAGCTTCGACTCCGGCTGCCCCATCAACGTCGTCACGCATTTCGACCACGATCAATTCTCCTCGTCCGCATTCGCAATATTAAATTGGCCTGACAAAGCCCGCGGGCGAACATGAGACAAATATTTGCAGCCGAAAAAGTCGGTAGCGCGCGCGCGGGATGCGTGCAAAACAACGGAGGCAAAAAAGCGAGTGTGGAACGCGTGAGGAATCTGTATATAAAATGCACTCCGGGGCTCCTCGCCTCGCTGTGGTATTATGCAGCGATACGCGCAACGTGACTCGTCGACAAATATCATAAATTTTCGATTTATTCAACGGGATCTGTTTGTCCTTTTCGTCGCAAGTAATAACGATCACCTGTCACGCGCTTAGTCTTTCCGCGCTTAATTTTTCTTGCTTTTTTTTAATGCTCTTTCGTTGCATCCGTCACACGCGCATAATTTCCAACTAGTGCGTTTGAAGCGCGCCGCGATGGACGAGATTCGAGTTTATCTCGACGCGCGGAAATTCACCGGCATCCGACGTGCGGAAAGAAAAATCCGCCGATCCGACGATTGCGATACGCGCGTGGAACTATCTTGCGTCACTCTCATATGGAGAATCTAGAGGCAAATCGTTGCATACCGGTGGTAGTTAGGGGCTGCCCGTAATACAGTAATGAGGGCTTACTGCCATGGAAACCAAAGCCGCTTACAGCCAACCACTCTACCTCCATCTCTACCCCCCTCGCACTCGATCCCTCTCGTTTGCGCATCGTCGTCCCATCCCACGATTTCCTATATATCCGCGATATCCTCATTCGCGAGTCCCGCTAAAAAATTCTGGAAACCGTTTCCCGGGTCTCTATTGTTCCGCGACAAGTATCTTGGATCTCTCCATTTCTGGAGTGAAAAAGGCCGATGCGAAACGCGACCAACCGTGTTTCGAAACGCCGTTGAACCGCGCTTCAAGTTGATACAATTCGCAAGTGGACGTCGCCGCTCAAAAAAAAATACGATAACAAAATTATTATGCGTTCCGAGAGAGGAGAAAATGTTGGCCGAAATAAGTCATCCGCGGAAAGAAGACAGAGCGTTTAGGGTCCACCGTCGGGCGAAAGTGGCGCGGAACCCGCCGATATCGCAAACCCCGCAATTTCCTTTTCCAATTTGCCATAAACAAGTCGAACACCCCCTCGTTAACCGGGTACGCCCGTGACTGCTCTCTCGAAAGTTCGACGTCGTCGAGGAAAAGACAAGGAAAGAGAAAGCGACGGGGAAAGGCGGATGAAGAGGACGGCGGTGCAACTCGGTCGAATTAAAGGAATTAAAGGACGCCTCGTTACTCGTATCTTCCGATTCTCTATCTCAACTCCTGCGCGCGAAAAAAGGAAAGATGGGAGGGAAAAAAAAGGATGTTGAAAAGTTTGCTCCTTTCCCGCTGCGATCTAGGTCCTCTCTCGCGCCGCTTCTTCTCTCCCCCGCCGCTACTTCGGTTCCTCTTCGAGGAGCGAACGTTTGCATTAACCGTCCGTAATGGCTGCGATTATTAGGGAGCATTATTCAGAGACCTTGGACCCCAATTTTTTCTCCCCTCGCCACCCCCCCGCGCGTCGTCTCCTCGGACGAAAGGAACGTTGAATTATTGAGACGCGGAGGCGGGAATTAAAAAATCTCCGCGTGCGCCTCTTATCCCGGCGTGGTATGGGCGGCAGTCGCGAGGAGATACCGGGTCACGGTATTTGTCGCGTGAATTAAAAATGAGAACGGAATGAGGGGCCAGGTGGTGGCCCGTGCTTGGCTTTCGACGCGGGAAAAACGAGGCCATCAGTCGGGGCACCACCTTAATGTAGCGATGCCTGAATGATTTAAGACGCCGCGCTGGAAGAAGGCGAACTAGCGGAAAAACCGATCGAGTTTTCGACGTCAACTGATGAGAGTTATTTTGGTAAAGCAAACACACAGAGATACCGAGAGCGTAAGAGGAGAAGAAATATATTTTCAACTGCTTTGTCATACGTTTGGGAGGAAATTGTAGCGAAATTATTCCACGAAACACTGTTTAAATTGTTACATAAAAAATGCAATTCGCAAGACTTACCTCTGCCACTTCTACCGACGAATCTGAGATCGTTGAACTTGGCGACTTGATTTTTCATTAGGGCGGTAGAGTTCCGCAATTCCGCGCAACAATTCTCGTCGTTTCCGGCCCGAACAGTTACAAGGGTACCGTCCCCGACATCGCCGAGGGCTACTACTTTAAAGGCTACCGGAAGGGTCTTGTTCGACCGCCAATGTGACGGCAATACCGTGCAGACCACATGTGGGGAACCTTATATTAACACAAAAATTATATTCGTGGAGATTAATTAATTTGTTTTTATTAAAACAATCAATGAATTTTATAATACCGTCAGATTTGTTTCGAGTATATATGTTTAAGTCCGTTTTAAACGATTTATATAATTCGCGATTAAATTCGAAATAGAATTTTATTTATAATTTCATGTGCTGCGTAATACAGAAAATATTTGAAGAATCAGAATACACACATGTATACGAAATACAAGTCACTGATACATATTTTAATATTCTGATTCTATAAATGTTTTTTATATTATACGAGACATAAAATTATAAATAGAATTTTATTTCAAGTTTTTTTGCGAATTACGGATCGTCCTAAAGCGGGATCGAAAAGATAATTTTTCTCGAAGATTAAAAATATTTGAAGAAAATATTTAAAAGTCGAATTCTCGAATTTCTATCACACTTCTACTTCTTTTTTTCGTAACAAAAATAAGAAATATTTCTTTACAGTAAAATGTTTTCGTTACGCAAGTGTTATCTTTGAATATATATATTTTACCTGTACGAACAAGTTCTCCAGGATGCTCGGCGAGAAGTCCATCGAGTGTTCTCTCGGCGAGCAGATCGGCGGTGAGAGCATAATCGGAAAGATGATTTCCGCCGGCCGAACCTTGAGGAGGAACCTCGTTGGCCAAATGCATTCTTCTCCTCGAGGACGCTCGGGTCCTCCGTATTCTAGGCCCGCCGATCTGACCCACCGTGTTTGCTTGATGCGCTTGATGACCGCCACGCACTGACCTAGGATCAGGATAGTCTAGACCGGGAGGCCGATCCTCTGGTCGAACATCTCGCGAAGGATTCGTCATGAGAACGATATCATTAGATTCTTCCTTGATCGAGATATCGCCTTTCCCTGCAAGCTTGCCGGAGGAGCTCGGTTGCTCAATTGTTTGCGTCTTATCTCTTCCGAATTCGAGACGAAGCAAATTGTACACGTGACTCGCGAGAAGATCGATCCTTCTGATCAATTCCGATATGATACTTGGTCCTTTGATGATACGTCTGAGCTTTAGAAAATATCTTTTATTTTATTAAATAATTGCAGTCTCTTATTTCGCGAACCGAAGTTTTTCTCATTCAGATTAATGATTATATTCGGCGTGCACGAATGATCGATGCATCTGGTTTATTTGACGTTGATTTAAGAATACAAGTACAGATTGATCTCACTGATGACGAGGAGCGCATTACGAATGCACGCCGGTATCTCCTTTCAACGACAATTGGATTTGTTTCCTTTAGAATGGAGTGGCACGCGCGACTCTTCGACGGCTTTCTCGGCCCTCGCGCGGGGCCCTAGACTTCTTTGATCCTTATTTCATTATCCTGCCGCGGGACGGAGGCATCCGTTTGTAAATTCTTCTTCGTCTCGATTGCCAACTCGCGGAGAAAATTCGTTTTATTGGAATCGTCGGCAATCTCGACGACCCTTGTTTCTGAGTATTCCCGTTTCTATCGTGTCTTCCGCCCGCCGTCTTATCGATGACGAAGGATCACTCGCGGTTACTTTACATCTGCTCGTTAACCAGCAGTTAACTTTATTGAAACAAATTTGTGGAGAAGTACCTTTTTAATCGCGCGGATTTGAAATACTATCTCGCACCGGCGGTCCTCATGATCGATGTCATCATGTTCGCGCACTTTCTGTCTTTCATTAGTACGTATTTTCACTAAAAATTATACGTCGGAGAAAGTTTTTTTTTTCAAATAAACCGTATGTTTTCCGTACGCGGCGCTCACTGCGCGAAGTATCGCCGAACTTTGGCGAGGACCGCGCACAGCATCTGACACGTGTATCTCCCTCGCCGATCGAAATCTTGATCAATCACGAAAACATTTCAACTGAGAGGCGAATGATGATTAAGAGATTCTTAAACACTGTCGAAGAGACTTGAGGTTGCAACGATCAAGGCGAACGATCACGATCCGCGTTGCATTCTCATTCGCGCACATCAACACCGATCCGAAATTTTTCCGCCGCGAGAATCGCAGCGTGTCCCGGATGTCCTTCGCCGTCGCAGTTAGCCGTCGTCGCGGCGACGATGATTCTTCACCTGGCCGTTGCTTCGGCGGGTGGTAGGACAGCTTCTACTCAGAGGAAGTAGGATAGGGTGTTTAACTCGCGCGGTCTCGTTTCGGTTCGGCGGTGGAAGATGGCGGCTTCTGCGGTGGAGCCGCGCGGTGTGGTTGCGGTGTATTTTGAGGCTGCCGCCCCCAGCCACCACCGAGACCACCCTGGGTAACCCTCCTCGCCCCTCTTTCGTCGCCCCGCAGCCCGCCGCGCGTCTCTTCCACGCCGCCGCCACCGCCGCCTGCCCCACGGTACCCGGCTGGTGGGGGGTTGGTTTTTCCAAGCGGTGGGGAAAAATCTCTCTGCCTCTCGCTCTGGCGCCCACGCACCCTTTTTCCCTCTTTGTCTCGTCACCGCCGCGCGCACAACCTCTCGCAGGATTGCCGCCGCGTTCCTGACGATACTCCCGCCGATGACGACTCGTGGACTACACAAACCTCGCGCTGTCTTCCGGGCTCCGTCGTCGTTGCGCCGAACGACGGGGGATTCGCGGGATGTTCAGGGGGAGAGGAGCTTCCGGAGATGAATCTCGGCGCCGCGTCTCACCGCGCCGCATGATTGCGGTGCAAGATTGACACTCCGGTCGAGCGATGATTTCAGCTGTACACTGTCGCGAGTTATATCTACGCGGGGCACAGATAGACAAATGTGCAATGCAGTTACCGATGCAGCCTGCGGTATTTATGTAGCAAATTATTTCGCCTCACCGTTTAACGACAATAACATTCGTGAAAAATATTTTCCGATTTTCGCGATTCAGCATACGTCATTTAAATCACGTATCACGAACTCTTCACTGCGATTTTATCTCGTATTTCCGCAGTATTATAATTACACTTTAAACACTATTAATGTTTTACTTTTAGCGTAACAAACAATTTACACTCTAATTATTCGCAAATTAGGTTGGATCACTTTATCACACGTAATGATCAGGAAATTAATAAACACTTCTCTTCGACATTAACGTTAAAATAAATCTCGCGAAAATCAAATGTCAAATCAGCTTCTTTCTATATGATCATTTGAGTGATTTTTTTTACGGCTTTTACAAAAACACCAGGTGGAGTCCGCCAATTAATCCTGCGGAATTGAACGTTCTCTTGCTAGAAGTAGAAAATATTTTCCACGGGTTTCTCGCACGATCTCTCTCATCTGTCGAGCGGCTTTTTGCCCTTCTTGGTTGATTTCTTCCTGCTTCCGTCGTTCAACGATCACCCCGCGCGAAACTGCGAAACGACACTGGGAAGAAAGGGAAAACAAAGACGGCAGAAAGGCCCCTCGTGTAGTTGCGTTTAGCACCGAGAAATACGGGGGTTGCGCGATGCTTGGGGGTTCTCGGAGGGTGCGGGCGAAGAACTGAAACGGAGACGAACACCGCCGGCCAGGGTGAGAGAAAGAGAGGCACACGTTGTTCTAACGCACAAGTAGTCATCCGCGGATTCAGCGGACCAAATAAAGAAATATGACAAAGTTTGCTGCAAAACTGACGTCTCTCTTATCGCGTGCGGAGTATATTATTTCGTATTGCTAAGATATAAATGTAATGCGACGATGAGCGATAAATCTTCCAGTTCCACTGATATTCAAACATATTTTTGTGATTTATTTATTAATTAAGATTATTAACAAAGATCTTACATTGAATTCCATTCGTGAAATGTCATGTATGACGAGAGTGATTGCCGGCGGCAGCCGACGGAACTTAAGGGACGGTTTGTAGATTGTCGAATAAAAACGGAACGCGACGCGGGAATTGTAACACGTCACTCTTTCAAGAGACAACACGAGACTATCGATCATGACGTATCTGTACCAAGCTGTACGAGAACCCCTAAACGAGACGAGCCCCCTATATAATCCTACGCCCCTACGAGGAACAATGCGTCGCCTCCGCGTCCCTACATGCAGACTTTCCGAGATGCATTTCGTCATGCGTAGGTTCTTTCACTGTGCGATGCTGTCCCCTGCTTTCAATTACATCCGCCAGTATTTTATTATTTCATCAATGGCATTGATAACACAACACTTTTGTGAAATGCGCGAATTTGTTCGAACAGCGCAAACATTTGTTTGGGCAACACAAAAATTTACAAAAGATGTCTGTTTATGTATCGAATCAAGAGAGATGTTAAAAGCGAAAGATAGCTTCACCCCTCGAGGGGCGTCAAAAAATGTTTGGGGATCGCGTGACATTATTTTTGAATTTTTGTCGCGTAGGAGAGAGAAAGTGAATTAGGGCGAGAATGTAGTGAATGCGATTGGCATGCCAAGGGAACTTTAGGGCGATTTAACTGCTGGCAAACGAATAGTTTGTTAAAAGATCGCCTAACTTGAGATATTAAACATTTTATATTTTATACATAATTAAAAAGTGTAATATATAATATATTTTTTCGAGCGTATCACTCTTAGTTTTTTATAAAAAAAATATTTCGATGACTGTATTGTTGATCATCAAAAAAAAAGTAATAAGAATTATTAAAAAATATTACACTATTTTATATTTTCTATATTCTTGATGATAACGAAATTTTTGAGTTATTACGTTTTCATAAAAATCCATGATTTTATTAAATTTATTTCTTTCTGTTTTTGAAATTTATTTTATCTTTTTTATATGCGCTTAAATCTAATAGTCCTCCAATATCTGTTGGCAAGCATTGTAATCATACGATGTGAACAGCAACAAAATAAAAACTCAATAACTTCACTACCACGCGCAGCCAAAACGATTGGTTTCTGTTTGCGTTTCGGCTATTTTTTTCGCCGATGTCCTTTCGACAGTAACGATATTCTATAACCCGCATCCGACACGGTTCACATAATCGGTGAATCGATGAATGCACGACGATTATCGACGCACTTTTCCGTTCAAATTAATTGGACCAATTATCGATGCTGAACAATTATCTGCTGGCGACCAATTAGATCGGCAGGATTTGTCGACGTCGTGTTGCCTGGCAAGGAATAATTGGAGCTTATGCGTTGCCGAAAAAAAGAGAGAATCAGTAAAAAGCTACGTTATTTAAATAGATAATCGGTTTAACCAAAATTGACAAAATCCCGATGAATGATTGTTAGTCGTTCAAAAAAAAAAAAAAAATATTACCGCTTCTGAGAATGATTAAGTGTAATATTTTAACAGTAGTTAAAATTCTTGTTTGCGTGAACTATCACAGTTGACCATTATTTTTATCTTGAAATTTTTTGGTATAGTTTAAAAATTATTAAATATTTTAACGCAGAAATTGCAATATATATATATTAACATTATCGACTAGAAAAATATTTCAAATACCGAAATATTCTTCTCACGCACAGAATATTTTTCTATTTCTTGATGTTCTCACAACACTGATATCTTTGACTGAGATCACTGGCTGGTTCCGTCGCGAGAAACTGCAGCTCGTGTGTTCGGTCAGAGATCACTTTTGGCAGCTCTCCACTTGCGGTGCACAATATTAATCCGTTTACCGGCTATCGTAAGAACCATTTAGTCGCGATTTCTTCCGCTCGTGACTGCGACACTTTGATTTTCGCGGGCGCCAAAAAAAAAGAATCGGACGAATCTACGAGAAGACGATAAAGAGATGATAGCTGGGGAACGCAACCGGGGGGGGTGCGGATAGCGCGGGTGCGCCCGCGTTGTAGAGCGGAGGTAATCACACACGGTTAGCACATGTTACCCGGGGGGCAATTCTCGAAAAAGGCCGCGGCTCGTTCCGGACGACGTCTTGCGGAGGGGCGGGGGAGGGGGCGCGGGGGGATGACATCTCGGAGCCCCCCACGGACCAAGGGTTCGAGGGGGACCGGAGGGATGTCGGAGACGATAGAGGCGGCGCCGGAGGCGGGTCGCAGTTTTTCAGGAGTTTGCGCATGCGGGCACTTTTATACCCCACCAGCGACACCGCCGCCTTGGCGTTCTTAGAGGCTTCTTAGGGTGAGTTTTGTCCCCTGGCGAGGCGTACTCCACCCACCCACCCACCTACACCGCCGCACGGTTGTCGCGTAGGAGTCGGCGGATGCCTCGACTCGGCTCGCTCAAAAGGGTTGCATCTATTAGCCGTAGTGCTTGCGGCCTTTGCGACGGATCTCGAATAGCTGGGAGTTTTTCGCGACCGCATTTTTTTATCATTTATATCCACCGGGGACGATTAGATTTGTAGTTCGTAGAGTCAGGTGGGTCGAACTTATCGATCGATCACTCGGCGCGGCGTAAAATTAAAATTGCCATGGTTACATCTTCGCCCAGGCGACGTTTTGTACGCGCGAATAATGCAAGACTCCGAAGTCTGTCTCTAATGGGGGTAACGAGATTATCGAGAGAAACCAACGGAGTAGCGTTAAGGAGTTCTCGGTCTGGAGATAGCTGAAATCGGATTAGCAGTGAAACGAGTAATCGGCACCGGGGCTTCTCGTCAGTCTTTCGCGCTACCGGACATTGTGTTTCGATGAAATCTATCGGGTCGACGAAACATTACGTTATCTTAAGCCGTATTCTTTTGTTGTTGTTTTTTTTTTTTTATTATAAAAAAATAATTACACGCAGAAAAATATTCTCCGAATTTTCAAGAAGGCAACATTGTAGTAAATCTGACTTTCAATTGTCGCTTCCGTCTCATCGTGTCCTACTTTCACTGTAAAGCAATACTTCATATTTGTGCAGGAAATTTTCAGAAGATGTCAGCGCGCAGTCAAAGTCTTTTAAAAAATTCTTTCGAGCAAGAATTCTTAAAGAATTTATCTGAAGGAAAGAATCCTTCGGGTCAGTCGCAATCGTGATTTAATTCTCGCGCGTTTCCTTAGGCATCAGTTGTCTGCATCCAGAGGAAAATTGGCGAAGCAGTACGCGCGGGGTGCGAGAAATCGGGTTCGTGGGGAAGGCTAGCGACGCGACGAGAGGATTCGGTGAATGGCGAAAGCCAAGGGAAAAGAGATAGAAAGAGACAAGGAGTGGAAGAATAAGGAAAACGGCGGGAGTTCCGTAACGGAGAAAATAAGAAAGCAAATTACCTAGCAGTCACCTACCCTCGGGGTGAGGTGTCGATATGACATGTAGGAAGAGAAAGAGTGAGAGAGGGGGGGAGGGGGACCCACTGGTGGCAACCCCTGGGG